TACTAATGGTCAGTTGCAGGCCAAGTAGATAGCTCTGCTCATCTTGGCTGCTCTCATGTTTGGGGGAACAGCAGGCAAGAGGCTAGAGGGATAGCATGGCCTCAGCTGGGACAACTGGCCTCTCCTCCATGTGATCTCTCCTCCCACAGCAGGCTAGTCTGGGCTTCTTTGCATGGGGTTTCAAGAGAATGAATTCAGAGAGGTTTAAAATTGGCATACCTTCACATTTTCCCTGCATTCTAATTGTCAAAACAAGTCACATGGCCTGCGTGGATTCAATGAGTGGGAAAGAGACTGCCTTTTGATGGGAGGAGCTATAAGGTGACTATGCAAAGGACAAGGACATGTGCAAAGGTAGAGTACTGAGCTATTTTTGCCTCCCATCTACCCTTATAGGTGCCTAATGCAAAAGGATAACCAGGCAGCACATTTACAGCCAAGTGACCAAGAGTATCTCACCTAGCACTGGATTTAGGCAGACAGCTAACACTAAGTTCTGGCCACAGGGCAGGGGCGTTTACATTGTATTAACCATGTCTTTTAGTTTCTGTATCCGAGGTTTTGGCTCTGGCTTTGCTGACTAGAGAGACTGCCACTCCCCAGGTTATTGGATCCCTAGTGATAGAAAATGATGCTTCCCTGGGCCCAGTAGTTCATGGCTATAATCCCAGCACTTTGGGAGGCACAAGCGAGAGAATTGCCTCAGTCCAGGGGTTCGAGACCAGCCTGGACAGCTTGGCGAGACCCCATCTCTACAATAAATCAAAAAATTAGCCGGGCATGGTGATACATGCCTGTAGTTCCAGCTACCTGAAAGGCTGAGGTGGAAGGATTGCCTAAGCCCAGCAGGTCAAGGCTGCAGTGGCCATGACAGTGTGACTGTACTTTAGCATGGAGGACAGAGTGAGACTGACAGGGAAGGGAAGGGAAGGAAAAAAACAAACAGTTTGCCTTGTATGACAGAACAGTTAACAGTGCTGGTTTCCATAACTGAAAGAAGTTGTCACTGTTGACACAATAGAGCCAAGCAGAGAAGACTAACAGGGTCACCATGAGAAACAAGAGAGGGAGTTAATTACTGACAAGCTCTTAACATGGCTCTACAGTGATGTGCACCTTTAATGTACTTATATATTTGTTTATAGATCAACAGCTACTTGACAAGGAGACTCTGGGATAGACAAAATTAAAATGAATAAGTGCCACACACTAATCCCACAAGATACAGTGCAAATACAGAACATTTCTGAATATTGGAAAATGGACTTTGATAGTCCTAATACCCAACTTGTAGTAATTTTGTGATGTCTCCCTATTAGTGAGGAGGTACAGGGAAGGGCTGGACAACCTCTATCTGCTAAGTAGGTAAAATACATAGGTGTTTATAAGACATACAATCTTTCTGTTTTGAATTCTCCTCACTTGCAGAAGTTTAGGTTGCAGATATAAACTTATCATCTCTCAAAAATACAGATTCCACAGGTCAAACTTGTGCCTCTTCCCAGAGACAAAAAAGGGAACAGTGCCTGCAAGTTCACTGATGACTTAGTTTTACCTGCTCCTGGCCACACACATGGATGCTCCTGGAGTTTCGCACACTATGAGTGGAATCATCCCCTCAGGAGGGTTGGCCTAGCTTGGTGCAGCTCCCAGAAATGCAACAACTGTCCTCATCCAGGTTGTCAGAGAGGCTGTACTGAGCATGTTCTCAGTGGGAGGAGTGCCAAGTTGGTCATTCACAAACACCAACGTGTAGCAGTGAGAGATGGATAAGCCAACTCTCCTCTCTGGAAAATGGGTGGCGGCAGCAGTTCACCTCTAAAATTCAGCTCATATTTTCCTTCTTACCATAGAACAATGGGCAGGGCCAGGAGAACCAGAAGACAAATAGTCAGGGGCGAGGGAGTTAGGAAGTCTTTGGAAGTGGAAACCTTCTCAAGAAACTAGATGCCATGGCTGGTGCACACAGTTCAGGGCAGGGGGTGGAGGAGCACATCTGTCACAAAGCAGGTGATGGAGGAGGGCTTGGGAGGCGCTGGCACACAGGTCATGGTAAAGTCCTTTGGATGATACACCATTGGCATTCAGCAGTTATGGGGAAGGTGGTGTCTCAAGAAGCTCTGGGTCTTGACCCACCATCTGCCAGTCGTCCTTTATTTTCACTCAGTAACAGGAACATATGCCCTATAAGGAGTCACAATATGGAGGATTGTCAATGTCACTTCCTCAGTGTTGGACGATATTGGTCGTCCCCCATACTGATTCCCTATGGGACGTATCTGTCTCAGAGATGCTTCCTGCAAATTAGAAGGTAGCATCTCTTTCTTTATTAGATATGAATGGGAGGTGACATCTTTTCTGAGAAGTGGCACTAGAACATAGATCAGTCATGCAAGTGGACTTTTATGTTGGGAAGTACCAAACATGGCATTGCAGACATTGGTTTCAACAGGGTAAGAGCAGGGTGGGTAAAATAGGGTATGATTTGTTCTTGCTTTGAGCATTTTTATCAAGTTTTTAGTTTTTTATTTCCCTGATAAAAATAATGCAACTGTCAATATTTGTCCTATTCAACTAATCTTTTATATCTGTCATATTGAAGATATAATTCATTTTGGTTTTCTTTGCCCCACTTAAAAATATTGTCAGAGTGCTTAGAAAATCCTCTACTTTTTTTTTTTTTGAGTTGGAGTCTCACTCAGTCGCCCAGATTGGAGTGCAGTGGCCGCTCCTGGCCACCACAGCCTCGAGCTGCTGGGCTCCGGCAATCCTTCCACCTCAGCCCTCCAAGTAGCTGGAACTACAGGTGCATGCTACCACACCCGGCTAATTTTTGATTTATTGTAGAGATGAGGTCTCACCAAGTTGCCCAGGCGGGTCTCGAACCCGCGGGCTCAGGCAATTCACTCACCTCAGCCTCCCAAAGTGCTGGGATTACAGGCTGAGCCACCAAGCCCGGCTTACTTCTTTTTATTTACTTATTTAGATGGGGTCTTGCTTTGTTGCCAGGCTGGTGTACACTGGCTCAATCATAACTCACTGCAACTTCAAAGTCTTGGGCTCAAGCAATCCTTCCATATCAGCATCCAGAGTAGCTGAAACTACAGGCATGCACCATCACACCCAGCTAATTTTTAAAATTTTTGTAGAGATTTTTTATTTTTGTCTTGCTATATTGCACAGGCTGGTCTTGAATTCCTGACCTCAAATGGTCCTCCCGCCTCAGCTTTGCAAAGTGTTGAGATTACAAGGGTGAACCACCACGCCTGGCCCCCTACTTCTTTTTTAAAGTGTGAATGGAAAAATGTGTATAACAATCTTGGGATGCCAAAACAATGGCAAGTTGTAGGCATTTGTCATTCCAAATCCTCATCACATGCTGTATACATTCACCTCCTCTGAGGGGAGGCCTATCTCCCATTCTAGAAGCTAGAAATTCCAGAGACTTGCGGTACTATCCTCCCTTGGAGCTGGGGCACAGATACCTGTAATAGATTCTACCCCCACATGCTGTACCCCATACTGTCTCATTTGGAATCAGAAGCAGAAAAACAAAGACCTCACAGAACACATGTGGACAGTGGGTGGCCGCTGTTCAGCTTTCAGGACGCAGCATCAGTTGCTGACAGTGGCAGCTGCAGCATTCCATGCTTGAGGTGGCAATGGACCAGTTCTCCAGCACAATTTTGGGTATGATTCCTGGCAGCCTCCAGGTTTTCTTTCGCAGCTCTTCCAGAGAGTCTGTGAACTACCAATATTCTTTAAATACATTGCTTTACTTATGTAAACCAAATTGCTTTCTACAGCTTGCAACTAAAAACGTTGACTGATAAAGTGTATAACTGGTACACTTAGCCCTATTTCTGTTGCTTTGTTTTAGACATTCTGTTGGGTTCTGTTGTTGTTTGCTTGCTTTTTTTTGTCTTTTACTAGACAAATTGCGTTTGATTTTTTATAATCACTTATGCAGTGGCATCCTGATTTTAACTATCTTTATGGCCATAAAGTATATTCCTAGGTATGTATTTTTCTAGTTATAGGAACCAAATGAGCATTTAAAACATTCTACTCTATGAACAATGAAAAAACTGTATGATCTTTTTACCTTCCCAACACATACACTCTCTTTGCAGGCCTTGTTAATTTGGTCAGGGATTAAAAATGCTTGCCACGATGAATCAGCCTACCTCCTCACCTTGCTCCTCAGGAAGCCTCTATTTCTGCTGAAAGGAAGCAGCACAGAAGTGCATAAGCTGTGCCCCACACTGTCCCAGGAACCTTCCTCAGTCCTGGGCATATGGAGATAGTTGGTCACCATAGCCTAAGGCATATCCTAGTCTGAAGGACTGTCCAACCTGCCCCTTACCCACACCTCTCCCAAATGAGGTGCTCAGAACTGATCTGGGTCACGCTGGCTGAAAACCAGAGCACGTGGTATTTTGGTTGACTTCCAATGTCAACAAACTGGCATTGTTTGCCACCTTGGTTGAGACAATTAAGTATACCAGCATCAGAAATGCTACAGCATCCTTAAAGGGTACTGCCTCCCCAAGGAAGCACAAGAAAGTCCCCCTGCCTGAACCTCTTCTGTGTTTGACTGTATTGTGCTTAAAATATTCACTGCTTCTTCCTGAGGGCGTATTTTCATCCTGGTCCATTGACATTAAGCTTGGCTGTGTAACCTGCAGTGCACATTCAAGTAGGATTATACATCCCCTGTCGAACACAGGGTGGCTGAATGACTTGCTTTGGTCAATGCAATGGGAATATCAGTGTGAAGAGCCAGCTAGTGGTCTCCCCCTGCCAGGATACCAGCATTGGTCCATACGGGGGCTGAAAGGTCAACCTGGGTCCCAAAGTGAAGATGACATGGAACAGAGCGGAAACTGACCACAACAAACACAAGTGAGAAGTAAATCTTTGTCCTTGTAAGCCATGAGATTTGGGAGTTGCCTATTATTGCAGCATAACTTAACCTATCTCAACATCACACCTCTACACTAGGTATAAACCTGGACCTTTGACTTGGAAAGGCCTGAGCACTCAATGGAGTCTGGAGCCTTACCTGGAGGACAGGGAGAGAATGGTAGGCTAAGCAGTCAGAGGAGCAGTGATGCGGACTCTACTCTGGTTTCTATCACCCAGACAACTAGCAGAGCCATCGACCCATGTGTCCTGGCTTGATGTTATAAACCTGTAGAAGAGTGTGAGCCAAAGGAAGGTTTTCTCTGAAATGTTTTCCAAGTTTTCCTTGAAAGCAAGAATAGTCAACTCAAGTTAGCAAACACTCTATCATTAGACTGAGAGCTTGCTATGTATGCCAAGTGAAGCAGTATTCCTTCTGAATAAATTAAAAATGTATCTAGGAGATTAATACCTGAAAGCAAGTGCCTATGAGGCACCATGAGAATAAAATATTACTTTTATAAGGTTAATGCATAATCAGTTCACAAAAAAACTGACAATGCAAATGTAAAGTAAAAAGGAAATCACAATACAGATAAAACATTAGAAAATGTATATAATTTAATCATGTTATTGTACAATAAATAGATTAAAATATAGTCTTGGATGTGTAATTAAGTAGAAATCAATACAAATGTATTTTTCCAAATATGTGCCCAGAAGAACCCCTCCTTAGGAAACAAAATATATTCCATGCCCTGCATCACAGAATGTGCTTTATAACACACATGACTGAGGGTTTTGATAGAACCATTTCCATGCTGATGACAAGTGTCATCTGGCACAGCTGCTCTGAAAGACAATTTTGAAATACTTTTTAGTCCTTATAATATTCATATTTTCTGGCATGGTATATTCACATCTGGAAATCTTTCTAAGAAAATAAAAATTCAGGCAAAGATTTTATGTACTAGAATGTTGCAAACAATAAATATCCAACAATAGAACAATGATTAAATAATACATAAAAATATAATGAAACCATCAAATGTAACTGAATCCTTTCAATTATGTAAGAAAATACTTACAAAACAATGTTGATACAAAACAGCATAATATAAAGTTGTGTGTAAAATATATCCTCAATACAATCCAAAAAAAATATTGAAAATAAAAATCCCCTAGGGTTTTAAGAGTATCTGTATACAGTGGTATTATAGGGTGATTGATTACTACTTTCTTCTTCATATATTCCTCTATTCTCCAAAATTTCTACAGTGATATATTTTTCAAAAACATTCTTTTGAAAAAGATATTCCTAAGTAACAGAGAAAGTAATTCAAGAATATAATAATACATATTTTTAAAATAAAAATGGCATTACAAATCAATTTACAAAAACTCCAAATAGTACTTAGAATAAAATTTATACTTTGACCATAAACCAGTAAAAATAAAAAGGAAACTACTACATATGCACATAAAATATAAATGAATTTTATTTATAAATGTATAGATATATAGCAAGTCGGAAAAACAATACATTGAAAGAACATATTACCATAATCAGGTAGAGTTTTTATCTCAGGAATTTAAGAATACTTTAATATTATAAAAATCTCTAGTGTAATCATATTAGGTGATTTAAGTGATAAAAATATTATATCAAAAGATGCCAATTCTTTTTAACAAGCTTTTAGTTTCCAACAAACAAGAACAGATGACATTATTTCTAATAATATCCTAATAAAGAACATTTGTTTAAAACCAATAATTAACTTCATATTTAATGAAAAAATACCACAATTTTACTAAATACAAACAACAGAATTACCAAAGAAAAAAGAAATATTTTTGTATTATGATTTTAAATTTAGAAAAAACAAACAGGTCATCTAAAACTGTTGAACAAAGACATTAATCAAAAGATAAATATTTTTTAAACTAACAGCTTCCTAAGGATAGTGATTCTCAAGCTGAGTATCAATAAAAATATAAAACACTCAAGAAAGAATCTAATAAGGTATGTATAATACCCAGAAAAAAATAAGATCAAAGTATAATGAAAGAAAGAAACATGACAATTTGAGAGACTTATCCCTTGATGGAAAGAATTAGCATCATAAACATATGCCTTAAAGAGTTAAGTTTAGACACAGACAATTCAAATTGCACTAAAAAGATGTTTACCTTATATAACACATTCCTTAGGAGAGAAAAAAATATTTTTGAATATTAGAAAAAATACCAGTGGGAAAAATTTCAATGAAGACCAATATGATACTGATTCAAACAGATTCAAATACAGAATTTAATCCATTATATGGCAAAAAAAAAATATATGTCTTACCAAATATTAGAATTACCAAGAAGAATAAATAATGTTTTTGCTCAAAGCCAGGAAATAAAAACACAAAGCACTGCAACATAATTTAGTAAATGCTATGCTAGTCCTATAAAACACCATGACAGCCACCCCTCTTGGGGTCAGGAAATGCCAATCTGGCATTTCGAAGAATCTAACTGTGCCAGGTTTTGAGGTAGGAGGAAAAAAGAAGGAATGGCACTTTAAAAAGAGGGAACATCATTTACAAATTCAGAGGATCACAAGACAAAATAGCACATTCCAAAAATTCCAAGAAGTTCTAATACATATACTACTGAGATGCATTTTAAAAACCCAATTAAAAGCCAATTTTTTAAAAACTAGAAAATTTCTTATAAAATTCTGAATTTCTGGTATCTTAAAAAGAAAAACAAAAAACCTGGATAATATGACAACCTGGGCCCACATTCCCACACGGATACAAGAGGCAGGTGTTCCTTTTAGACGGGACAGTGAGCCAGATGTCCCCTCCCTAGTTTATTTCTCTTGAATCCAGCCCACTCCACCATTTAACTACCTTTCTGGTCCCTGTAGGCATCTGAGTTTATGACTACTGCCCCATATGTCAGGGCCAGTGAAGGTGCCCCATATGTCAGGGCCAGTGAAGGTCTCCACAGAAAAAGCAACGTGACTGGGTTTGCTTTCAAAAGGTCAATCAGGCAGCCAGAAGGAAGCAGAAGAGTGTTAAGGAGACCAGTGAAATCCACAGAAGCCTATTTATTATATTAAAAGTTAAAACAGGACTGCCATCATTGAAGTGAGAGCAGGGCACCTCCTACAAAAACCTAGCACCTCCTATGAAAAACTCCCACAAAACATAACTAAAAAACCACTGAGTTATGCATCTGTGAAGTGTGTGTTAAGAAGTGATGTGTTTGAAGCAAGGCCGTGGGTAGGTGATGGACAGAAAGGGTCAGAGAAGGATAAACATTTGAGAGGTTTTTGAGAGGAAAAGAAATGTTTATCATTGGGTAACCAATTTGACACATGGAACAAAGAGAAATAAAAGTATAGGACTATTTACAGTTTTTTTGCTATGTCATTAGGTGACCTTCAAAAATAAGGAAACAGTAGCCATAAAAAAAGAATGAAATGTTTTTTGCAGCAACAGGGATAGAGCTGGAGATCATACTAAGTAAACTGACTCAGACACAGAAAACCAAGCACTGCATATTCTCACTTATATTTGGGAGCCAAGTGGACACAAAGATGGAAATAACAGACACTGGGGACACCAATAATGAGGGAGGAGGTAAAAGGTTAAGGCTCAGAAACTACCTACGGGGCACAATGTTCACTATCTGGGGTATGGGCCACCTGAGCCCCAATCCTCACCACTACACAATATGTCCAGGTAGCACACATGTATGTGTACACCCTGAATCTAAAATAACAATAATAAAGGAAGAAGAAAAAATAAGGAAACGGAGCCTGGAGCAGTGGCTCACAACTATAATCCCAACAACTCAGGTGGTTGAGGTGGGAGGATTGCTTGAGGCCAGGAGTTCGAGACCAGCCTGGGCAATAGAGTGAGACCCCATCTCTACAAAAAATTTTTAAAAAGTAGTTGTTCTGGCTGGGTGCGGTGGTTCAAGCCTGTAATCCCAGCACCTTGGGAGGCCAAGGTGAGAGGATTGCCTGAGCCTGTGGGTTTGAAACCAGCCTCGGCAACATGGTGAGACCGTGTCTCTACAATAAAATAAAAAAAATTAGTTGGCATGGTAGCCCACAACTGTAGTTTTGGCTACTTGGAAGGCTGAGGTGGAAGGACCACCAAGAGCGTGCCACTGTACTCCAGCCTGGGTAACAGAGTGAGACTCCAACTCAAAAAAAAAAAAAAATTAGTTGTTCTGATTTTCTTGGTGGAAAAAAAATTAGCTAGGCATGGTGGCACACAAGTATTGTCCCAACTACTCAGGGGCCTAAGGTGAGAGGATCGTTTGAGACCAGGAGTCTAAAGCTGCATAGTGGTGTCAGCTGTGATCACACCACTGCACTCCAACCTGGGTAACAGAAGAGGACTCTATCTCTTAAAAAAAAAAAAAAATTAAAAACAAGGAAATAAGAAGAGGAACAAGACTGAATGAAAATTAATAATTCAACTTAGGAGCCGGGCTAGGTGGCTCAGCCTGTAATCCCGTGCCTTTGGGAGGCTGAGGTGAGTGAATTGACTGAGCCCACGGGTTCGAGACCCGCCTGGACAGCGAGACCTCATCTCTACAATAAATCAAAAAATCAGCCGGGTGTGGTGGCGCATGCCTGTAATTCCGGCTACTCGGAAGGCTGAGGCGGAAGGATTGCCGGAGCCCAGCAGGCCGAGGCTATGGTGGCTGGGAGCCGCCACTGCACTCCAGTCTGGGCGACAGAGTGAGACTCCAACTCAAAAAATAAAAATAATAATAATAATAATTCAATTTAGGATATGTTAAGTTGTGGAGTCTGCAGACATGAGGATTCACCTCATAAGCACCAATAAATTACCAAAGAAAACTTATCTCCATCTGCTAACTCTCTAACAGCTGAATCCTGAGATGAAAATAAGAGAAAGACAGGTATGATCATATTAAATATTTTTACAGAATGAATACCAACAGAACTAAGATTAAAGTAGAGATATTACAGATTTGAATAAAATACTGCAACAAAGATTGCAAAGAGTCAACTACTTCATATATAAAAGCATAGTTAGCAGATATATAAAAAGAATACAACAATGTAAAAGTCCACCAAGTCTCTTAAAGTACATAATATGAACTTATACCCTACACTGTTTCCATTAAAAATTTAAGGCCAAGCCAGGCTCGGTGGCTCAGCCTGTAATCCCGCGCCTTTGGGAGGCTGAGGTGAGTGGATTGCCTGAGCCCGCGGGTTCGAGACCTGCCTGGGCAGCAAGACCTCATCTCTACAATAAATCAAAATATCAGCCGGGCGTGGTAGCGCGTGCCTGTAGTTCCAGCTACTTGGAAGGCTGAGGCAGAAGGATCGCCGGACCCCAGCAGGTCAAGGCTGCGGTGGTGCACTCCAGTCTGGGTGACAGAGTAAGACTCCGACTCAAAAAAAAAAAAAAAAGAACTTAAGGTCAGGAGCTGTGGCTCATGCCTGTGATCCCAGCACTTTGGGAGGGCGAGGTGAGAGGGCTGCCTGAGTCCAGGGGTTCGAGATGAGCCTGGGCAACCTGGACAACTTGGTGAGAACTCCTCTACAATAAATCAAAAAATTAGCCAGGCATGGTGGCGTGCACCTGTGGTTCCAGCTACTTGGAAGGCTGAGGTGGAAGGATCACCTCAGCCCAGTAGGCCAAGGCTTCAGTGGCTGTAAGCGTGCTACTGCACTCAAGTCTGGGTGAGACTCCTACTTTAAAAAAAAAAAAATTAGCTGGACTCGGTGACTCAGCCTGTAATCCTGTGCTTTGGGAGGCTGAGGTGAGTGGATTGCCTGAGCCTGCGGGTTCAAGACCTGCCTGGGCAACTTGGTGAGACCTCATCTCTACAATAAATCAAAAAATCAGCCGGGCGTGGTAGCACATGCCTGTAATTCCGGCTACTCAGAAGGCTGAGGCGGAAAGGATCGCCGGAGCCCAGCAGGTTGAGGCTGTGGTGACCGGGAGCAGCCACTGCACTCCAGTCTGGGCGACAGAGTGAGACTCCAACTCAAAAAAAAAAAAAAAAGTTAAGATGGCTTACTATAAAAATATACATATTAAGTGATACAGCATAAATAATAATCATAATTAAGTATAAAAATACCTTTGAAAAAATTAGCACCAGGAGAAATCAGTACTAGGAAAAAAGAAACAAAATATGTAAAACTTTCAGAAATACCGTTGTTGACAACCAAAGAAAAAAGATGAACACAAGTTGCATGACTCTCATTGCCCACTAGCATAAAACATAACATTTCACTTTACAAAGGACAGTTTCATATTGCCCCCACTCAAAAATGTGGCATTTCAAGATAAAATTTTCTTGAAATGAATTTACCTTTATGAAAAACTCATCACATTTTCCCTATTTCACAAATGTTATGTTATTACAGGACAATTAAATTTAAAAACAAAACACTTTACAAAACAAACATTTGGGAATATTCATACAGTAAACACAGCAAAGAATTTATAAAACTGCTTCTTGATGGTACTCCTTGATGAAAACAAACAAAAAACAACAACAAAATATTGAAATGTAACTCAATGAAGACAGTTGTGTAGGTGGAGGGCAGAGAGGAAGGAGAAGGGAGAAGAGGGAACGTCATCATGAAATGGGCGAGGTATACACACTTCTGATGGTCCATCCTGATCCACAGAAAGAGCGGACACAGTTGAGAGGGAAGGATGAACTACTCATGCTTCAAACTATAGCAACTGGGCTTTGGTAAAAGTTCAGCAAGAGATGAAAAGTAGACAGAGTAAGGTAGAAATCTCTAGGAAGAACCCAAAGGGGATATATTCTGTAGTGTTGGCTGAGGATGGATCTACAAAAACTGGGTATCACATGAATACAACATGGCTGCCATCCTTTTATGAAAATTAAGGAGCCCCATTAAAGGCCATCTACATCAGCACAGAAGAGAGCCCCACTAATAAAAGGGTCCCATGTTCAAAATGACAAAGTAAAAACAAACAGAAAACTATTCACACAGCAGACACACAGAAATCTATTCACTCACACATCTATTTTTAAAATGCAAAAGACAGTATCATTTCATACCTATAAGAAAAAGAACAGCTTTAAAAATTCAATATTGTACAGATTTTAAGTTATATTCAAAATTTCTTAGAAAGAACTGAAATATTCCAGAATAAGAAAAGCAAATAATTCAACTATGACATATTAATGTATCTGCAAAAAAAAAAAAAAGATTACGTATTATAATGTGAACAAATACAAAAAGATGCTTATGAAACATTAAATTTTTAAAAAATTGTGTACAAAGTATATGTACTCTACCAGAATGTAAACTGTGTATCTGGGAGTATAGAAAAACACTGGTGGACCATGAAGTCAGCAGAAGCCTGCCCACCCACCCTGGAAGAGATCCACCCACTTGGCTGGGGAAAGCACTGGGAACTGCAGGCAAAAGCTGCCACCTTCAGGACTCGTCCAGGTGATCCTGTCTGCACATTTTACCCTCAGTTTTCCTGTTCTATGTCCAAACTCATCCCTAACCCCCATCCCCAATCGTATCCTCCCAATCCATCATGTTCTCCTTTTCCATCTTCTTTACTTCTCACAACACGCTGTGAGGTAGACATTACAACCATCCTTCATAAATGACTAAATAAACAAATGGTTACAAATTAAAGCTCAACAGAAATCTTGTTTTCAGATCTTCCAAGCTGGACACGCTTCTTCTTATTCCACCGACTCCCTCTAAGGTTTACCTGGGCAGGGTTTCTTGGCCACCTGAGCGGGGACAGAAACCAGAGGACTGGCTTCTGCAGGCCCAGCTGCATGTGCTCCTTGTTTTTCAAGGCCCTGTGAATACTCAGTAGAAGCTGAATTATCTAAAAAGAAGAAAGGGATACGTTTTCCTAAGACACTCTTGAGTTTCATTTTATGTTGTGGGCAACAACAGCCCAGTTAACCAGACTTCAGACAAGACTCTCAACACCTGTATTTGGAGTTTGTGTCTTCTGGATTAAAAAATAAATTGCGCAGAGAGGGGAAGAGGGAAAGGGGGAGGAGGAGAGAGGAAAGGGAGAAAGAGGGATATATATCTCTCTCAACACGAGCAGAAAATCACTATTTCATAGTCATGAAGGAGATTCACCAAGCAAAACCAGAAGAAGATAATGACAGAATCTAGACAGAGGATAGAGTAGAAGGTGCCTGCCACCACTTAGAATCCCTAGATAGCCTCTGATCCCAGTATATGCAGAGCCCTCTCTGCCTGCAAACTCATTAAGCCTGCCACCAGCCTCCCAACCCATGAAAACTCCCTATTAAAAGTTAGAGACTTTGCCTCTGGTGATCTGATTTGTTCAAAAGCAAGCCTCCTAAGCCCACCACCCACTGATTTTCAGCTATCAGCAAATCTAACAGAATAAGTAACCTGCATGAATTATAATGAATGAATGAATGACAATTAAAAGAACACCAAACCATATTTGACTTTTAAAAATGACCAAAAGACTATGCAGCCAGATATCTATAAAGTTGTATCAAGTCAAAATGTAATCTACTAAACCAACATGTGCTTTGAGTATAATTGTAAGGTCCATAACAAAATGGTAACAGGTAATTTAGATTAGAGTGAGCAAAATAATTTGCAATTTTCATTTCTGGTCTCTATTTCCCAAATTGTTCTGTAATGCGGTTAAAATTACCTAAACATTAATAAAGAAAAACATCCACTTAACAAAAGGAAGTCATCCCTATGTCATCCTTACTCTTTATTTATTTATTTATTTTGATTTGGAGTCTCACTCTGTCGCCCAGACTAGAGTGCAGTGGCACACTCCCGGCCACCGCAGCCTCGACCTGCTGGGCTCCAGCGATCCTTCCGCCTCAGCCTTCCAAGTAGATGGAACTACAGGCACGCACTACCATGTCTGGCTAATTTTTTTGATTTATTTTAGAGATGAAGTCTCGCCAAGTTGCCCAGGTGGGTCTTGAACCTATGGGTTCAGGCAATCCACTCACCTTGGCCTCCCAAAGCGTGGGAATACAGGCTGAGCCACCAAGCCCAGCCCAATCCTTACTCTTACAGTCAGTCACTGGCCCATCTCCCTCCTCTTCTTAACCAAACTGTTAAACTGCTCTGCCTGCTTTCTGACTCCCAACTAACCAAGGAGACACACTGTCCAAACACCTGGGCAGATCCTAATAGCTGCAGTGGCAGTGCGAAGATAAACTCCACCCCTTCCCTCCTTTGATTAGAATCACAGTTCTGGCCGGGCTCGGTAGCTCAGCCTATAATCCCGCACTTTGGGAGGCCAAGGTGAGTGAATTGTCTGAGCCCACGGGTTCGAGACCCGCCTGGGCAACTTGGCGAGACCTCATCTCTACAATAAATCAAAACATTAGCCGGGCATGGTAGCGCACGCCTGTAGTTCCAGCTACTTGGAAGGCTGAGGTGGAAGGATTGCCGGAGCCCAGCAGGTCGAGGCTGCGGTGGCCGGGAGCATGCCACTACACTCCAGTCTGGCCCACAGAGTGAGACTCCAACTCGGAAAAAAAGAAAAAAAAAAGAATCACAGTTCTAGGAATCATAGTTCTAGATCAGAAAATGTTGACTGTCCTAAGTTTTCCCAAGACCAAAGTCCCAATTAACTTAAAAGTGCTTTGTTCCCAGACTCACTTTCACATCACTGATCTTATTTCTTTACAGTGAAGAATATCAAAACTGTATCATTGGTGGTGCTTTGTCTACTTCTGATTTTCTCACCTTTATTTTCCAGCATCTTATGCAGCTTCATATGCTTGTAGGTAGAGATTATCTGAAAATTAACGACACTTGGAATATTCAGTCCTTGGTCCTGTAGCAACTTCAAAGCTGTGGCATGAATGAGCTGATGGGACCGTTTGCAGGTCTGAAGTTTGCACTCTCCCCTGACAAAGGATTTGCACACGTGAAACTTGTTGCATTTATCTTTGAGGTTGCAGTATCCATAGAGGGCTTCACCTTTGTTGTAGAGCAAACAGACCTGGTACAGAAAATGAGGCAATACCTGAAATATTCATTTTCACTACATCTTGAAGTCAATAGACTATAGCTTCTCTAGCTCAACTGAAGATTAAAGGGCATCTTCTGATCATCAATGGCTGTTAAAATCTCTGGGTGAGGCCGGGCGCAGTGGCTCATGCCTGTAATCCCCAGCACTTTGGGAGGCAGAGGCGAGAGGATTGCCTGAACCCAGGGGTTCGAGACCAGCCTGGGAAACTTGGCAAGACCTCGTCTCTACAATAAATTTTTTTTTTAAATTAGCTGGGCATGGTCACGTATGCCTATAGTTCCAACTACTTGACAGGCTGACTGCTAACGCCTGAGCCCAGCAAGTCAAGGTTGCAGTGGCTGTGAGCATGCCACTCCACTCCAGCCTGGGCGACAGAGTGAGACTAACTCAAAAAAAAATCTCTGGGTGAAAGTCTGATGGACAGTGTCATGGTACTAACCATGCCCCACCTGTCATAGTCACTGATTCCTAGTGACTTACAGCAGCCCTCTCTTACCTTGGACTCTCTGCTGACCCGTCCTCCTCCCTCAAAGTTTGTAGCCAATGAATGACTAGTGGAGGTACACAAGGTTAGAATGCCTCAAAGCTAGAATAATTCTTCAGTATAATTTATGTTCCATAGACCCTAAGAGTCAGGTCGAGGTCAGACTTTACCTTGCTTGTAAATTTCCTTCCCCATATCCTGCTTCCTTCTCTCCCTTCCCAGGTTTTCCTGAAGAGCTCCCCTCATAAGTCACATGCACCTGTGAGTCTCTAACTCAGGTTCTGCTTCCTGGAAAACCAACCTCAACAGGTAGCACGAATATAAATTATAATCCAGACTAGGGCATTTTTTTTTTTGAGGGTGTAACTATTAACAAATACATTGGAACAACTAATGTAAACTGGGTCTGTCCAAGCGCAAACCAGGACCACACTGATGAGCAACTTTATAATGGTGAATCAGCTGTAAACCCTGAAACCACTAAACAGTTTAACCTCACACACACAGAAAGATGACAAGATACAGAAAGTTCCCAACATACGAACGAGTTCGGTTCCAAGAGCCATTCATAGGTCCCTTTTGCTGTAAGTGCAACAAAGTTAGCCTAGGTACCCAACTAACTACAATCAGTTATAGAGTATTGTTATGTTAACAGGCTAGATTGACACCTGGTGGAGAGAAATACATAAAAACTCATGTGTGTATCATTAAGGTTCATAACTTGAAGGCTCAATTTTGATTAGCTATATTTTTCTAAAATTTTGTCCATTTCAACTAAGTATTCAAATGGGCCAGTATAACATTTTACACATTTGTCCCTTATTGTCCTTTTATTGTGTCTTTAGGAAAGGAGTGAAAGGAATCGTCAGACATTTTCACACAAGAGATGTGAGGCACCGTTCTTGCCTCATGCCCTGCGCTTGTGTCTAAGTGGTTGTGTCTTGTGCCACACAGCACATACCTCCAGTTCCAGCTGATGAGGACAGGTATGTGCTCCTGTCCTAGGCACAACCAACCCACTGCTGTTCACAGAACACTGAAGTAGTCTAATCTGACAAGATGAGGCCAGGCCCAGGATGTCTGGGTAGAAGCCACACCAAAAAAGGTTCAATGGGTTTGACAAAATAAAAATGTTAAAGTTGCACAAATAAAAAAGTACTACGAAATTAAAAGGCAAACAGCATTGCACTGCCCCTTCTCTCTGAGAGAGGAAGGACGGGACCCAGACTTGTAGCTGCTGTCACCTTCCTTGCTCTTCCTGGCAATAACCCACTCCAGCTGCTGCGTGGATCTACTTGCAGCAACACGGTTGGTTGGAATGCATCTGGTCCACAACATGACACACCAGACCTGGCTTCAGAGCTTGAAAAAATGAGACAGGAGATGGATGTCAAGGAGAAATCTCCTGGCTCCTACAGTTGGCTCTAGGACTGCCTTTTGGGTACAGATTCTGCTGCCTCGAAGGCAGTCTCTGCCATCTGCACTGCAGGTTCCAGCTCATGCCTCCAGCCTTGTGACTTTCTTTCCTTCTAAACCCCAAAACATCTTAGAGTTAAAATAGGGCCACAATTATGAACTACCCTCTGTTTTCCCAACATCTTCCCTTTTTCCTGTCCCGCTTTTGGTAAAGTAGGAATGTCTATGATAGAATCATTGTGCTAGATTAGACAATTCTGCTTTTAATTGGTGTTCTCTAGAGATTCCTACTTGTTGGGAGCCAGCCTTGGAGGCCCGCCTGATTGACAAAGTCCAGGTGTGCTGAGGACCCCCGGCCGCAAAGTGAGCCTGGGAAGCTGAGGCCCTTCTGTCTTCCACCTTTGCTGTTTGGTACGGCCGAAGAATTCTGTGCAGTTGTGGAAGAAGAAAATGGCATGTTTATGTTAAGTACTCACAGCTAACCTGGAAATGTCATGGTTCATTTTTCCATTTCCCACTATGCCGTTTGGCCTTTTCTAACATATGCAATAGTTAAACTCTGAAGCACATCAAGATGCTTTCTTTCACTTGGTTATAAGTTACTAGATATTGCTTGAATAAAAATGATATAAGTATATTCACTCCTTATTTGATTTAGAATTTTGTAGTTTAGTGTTTAGACAAAATAGTGTTTTTTAGAAGCACAAGTTTATAATAAGTTCATTATGAATTCAATATAAGTTCTAACACTTATCTAGGAGTTATATAGGTGATTTATAACACTGTTTTCACAGGTTTAGGATGAAGATTAATCGTTAAGGTATTTACTTAATTCAACAGTTAAAATTCTAAGTTAACGTTTATAGAATAGGTTTTCACTGAATTCATAATATACTAATCAGATACTTTTATGATAAATTAACTAGAGACAGAAAGCAACCTTGAGGGCCTGGGAAACATCACTAAAAGCTTCTTTTGAGTTTTCTTTAGAAATAAACACTGCAGGATAAGAGAAAAGTAACGAAGACACCTGGACAAGAAAGGCGATTACGGAGCTTTGAAGGTCATAGAAGCCTCAGAGAAAAAAACTCCTGCTACATGGAGAAATGTGTACTTGGAAACTTTCTTGAGACATTTCAAGGACTGCAATTCAGGACTTTGGACTAAAACTATCATTTTTGGCTTTATGAATAAGACTCATTGTCTGAATGTCTATAGCGTTCTTGGCTTGTTTGTTGCTAAGACCACTAGATGGTGGTAACTTTTAGAGAATATGTACATGAAGGAATTTTCTTTGCCTTGCCCCTTTACAAATGGTATAAAAGCTTTCTGTGGACTAACATTAAATGTCATCTGTTCAGCAAGCAGGTGTCCGAGTATATTTATTTTCGTCTTTTGCCTATTTGTCTCTCCTTCAGGAAACCTCACACCCTTGGCAGGAGCAGGACTCCCACACCTACTATTTTGTTTAAAATAATTATTTGTGTATGGCTAAACTGAAACAAACTTGTTAATTTTGCCATTATAGCAATTGTAATAGGTACTTTTTAAGCATTTTAAATTGAATCGTGTTGCTTCAAAGCAATTAAAATTAGTATTAAAAGTCCCTCCCACAAAAAAAAAGTAAATTGGGTAAAATACTTGTAACAAATGTGACAACAGGAGGGTCCCTCCACAGTGACTCACCTCTGGTAAAAGGCAGGGGTCATTCTGTAAAAGCAGGATCCGAAGCTGGGATTCATTGAGGCCAAAAAGTCCATGGTTTTTCAGGACCTGGATGTTGACAGGTGTGTGGATATCATGGGAAAGAGTACAGGTAGACCTAGGAGAACAAAGCTCAAATAATTGAGAACTTCTCTGGCCTTGTCAGAGATTTAAACATCCAGATACAAGAAGCCCAGAGAATTCCTGGACGATTCATTACAAAAAGGTCATCATACAAGCATATAATCACCCAATTATGCAAAGTTAATGTGAAGGAAAGAATTTTAAGAGCAGTCAGACAAAAGCATGAAATAACTTGCAAAGGTAAATCTATCAGACTAACAACATTCTTATCAGCAGAAACCCTACAAATAAAAAGAAATTGGGGTCCTGTCCTTTATCTCCCCAAACAGAGTAACAGTCAGCTAGGGACTATGTAGCCTGCAAAACTAAGTTTCACAAATGTAGGAAATAAAGTCTTTCTCAAACAAACAAATGCTGAGGGTATTTGTCACCAGCAGACTGACTCTACAAGAAATACTCAAAGGATCTAAATATCGAAACAAATGGTTGAACTACGCCAGTATTCTTCTACACTGGAAATCACAGAGCTCATAGGGCTTATAGAACACTAACACAATTGAGAAAAAAAATAAAGCAACCAGGTATGCTGAATGGAATAGTACCTTACATATTACTATAAACCCTGAATATAAATGCCCCACTTAAAAAATATCAATTGGCAGAATGGATTTTTTAAAAAATCCAAGTATCTGCTACCTTCAAGAGACCCACTTAACACAAAAACTCCTATAGACTCAAGGTAAAATGATGGGGAAAAATATTCCAAGCAAATGGAAATCCAAACAAGCAGGAGTAGTCATTATCATATCAGATAAAACAGACTTCAAGCCGGCTCGGTGGCTCAGCCTGTAATCCCGCCCCTTTGGGAGGCTGAGGTGAGTGGATTGCCTGAGCCCATGGGTTTGAGACCCGTCTGGGCAGCAAGACCTCATCTCTACAATAAATAAAAAAAATCAGCCGGGCATGGTAGTGCATGCCTGTAATTCTGGCTACTTGGAAGGCTGAGGTGGAAGGATTGCCGGAGCCCAGCAGGTCGAGGCTGTGGTGGCCGGTAGCGGCCACTGCACTCCAGTCTGGGCGGCAGAGTGAGACTCCAACTCAAAAAAAAAAAAAAAAAAAAACAGACTTCAAATTAACAACAGTAAAAAAAGACAAAGAAGGATATTATATAATGATAAAAGGATCAATCCAACAAGAAGCCCAAATGATTTTAAATACATGTGCACCTAATACAAAAGCCCCAGCTTAATAAAACAAATTCTACTAGGTCTAAGAAAAGAAATAGACAGCACTATAATTGTGGGAGACTTCAACACTCCATTGGCAGCAAAAGACAGATCATCAAGACAGAAATTCAACAAAGAAATATTGGTGTTAAACTGGATCCTAGAGCAAAAGTAACAGACATTCCACTCCCAGACTACAGAATATACATTTTTCTCATCAGCACATGGAACAGTCTCAAAGATAGGCCAAATGATAGGCCACAAATTAAGTCTTAATAAATTCAAAAAAATCAAAATCATATCAAGCACCATCTCAGACCACAATGGAATAAAACTAGACATTAACTCCAAAAAGAACTTACAAAAACATAGAAGTTTAAAAATCTGCTCAACAATAAAAATCAAGATAAAAATTTAAAAATTCCTTGAAATGAATGATGACAACAACAAAACAAATTATCAAAACCTCAAGGATACGGCCAAAGCTGTGCTCAGAGGAAAATTTGTAGCACTTAAGGGCTACAATTAAAAAGACTGAAACACTGACAACCTAATGTCACCCAAAGAACCAGAAAAAGCACAAACAAACCAAATCCAAAGCTAGCAGAAGAAAAGAAATAATGAAGATCAGAGCAGAACTCAATGAAATTGGCCGGGCTTGGCGGCTCAGCCTTTAATCCCAGCACTTTGGGAGGCCGAGGCAAGTGGATTGCCTGAGGCTGCGGGTTCGAGACCCACCTGGGCAACTTGGTGAGACCTTGTCTTTACAATAAATCAAAAACTAGCTGGGCATGGTAGTGCGTGCCTGTAGTTCCAGCTACTTGGAAGGCTAAGGCAGAAGGATCGCAGGAGCCCAGCAAGTCGAGGCTGTGGTGGCTGAGAGCGTCCACTGCACTCCAGTGTGGGCAATAGAGTGAGACTCCAACTCAAAAAAAAAAGAACTCAATGAAATTGAAACCAAAAAAACTCACTAAGGACCAAGAAAATGAAAAGTTGATTATTTGAACATTCTAACAAAACTGATAGACCAATAGCTACATTAAGTAATGAAGAGAGGAGATTTAGATTAGCTCAATCAGAAATGAAAATGGAGCCATTACAACTGATACAGAAATACTAAAGATCATCCAAAATTATTATGAATACTTCTGTGCAAATACACTAGATAATCTAGAGGAAATAGATCAATTCAACCTTGGATCAGGAAGACACAGAAACCCTGAACAGCCGGGCACAGTGGCTCAGCCTGTAATCCCGCGCTTTGGGAGGCCCAGGTGAGGGAACTGCCTGAGCCTGTGGGTTCGAGACCTGCCTGGGCAACTTGGCAAGACCTTATCTCTACAATAAAATAAAAAAATTAGCCGGGCATGGTAGCACGTGCCTGTAGTTCCAGCTACTTGGAAGGCTGAGGCAGAAGGATCACCGGAGCCCAGCAGGTCAAGGCTGCAGTGGCTGGGAGCAGCCACTGCACTCCAGTCTGGATGACAGAGTGAGATTCCAACTCAAAAAAAGAAGCCCTGAACAGACTATCGTCAAGCAGTGAGACTGAAACAATAATTAAAAGTCTCCCAACAAAATAAAAAGTCCAGAACATGATGGACTAACAGCCAGATTATGCCAGACTTTCAAAGAAGAACTGGTATCAATTTTACTGAAGCTATTTCATAAGACTTGAAGAGGTAAGAATTCTCCCTAACTCACTCTACAAAGCCAGTATCACCCTAACCCCCAAATCAGGAAAAGACATAACAAGAAAACTATACACCAAAGATACAAAAATTAACAAAGATACAAAAATTTTCAACAAAATATTAGCAAACTGGATTCAACAGCGCATAAAAAAATAATCCACCATGATCAAGTAGGTTTTATCTCAGGAATGGAAATGTGATTTAACAAATTCAAGTCAATAAATGTGATCCACCATATAAAGAGAATTAGAAAACAAAAATCATGTAATCATTTCAACAGATGCAGAAAAAGCATTCAATAAAATCCAGCATATTTTCATGATAAAAACCCTCAGCAAAACAGGCATAGAAGGAACAGTCCTCAAAATAATAAAAGCCATATATGACAAACTCACAGCCAATATCATCCCGAACAGAGAAAAGTTGAACACATTCCCCCTCAGAAATGGAACAAAAGACAAGGATGTCCACTTTCACCCTCCTATTCAAAATAGTACTGGAAGTCCTAGCCAGAGCAAACAGGCAAGAGAAAGAAATAAAGGGTATCCAAATAGGAAAAGAAGAAATCAAACTATCTGCATGCCGATGATATGATCTTATACCTAGGGAATCCAAATGACTCCTCCAAAAGACTCTTGGAATTCATAAATGAATTTGGTAAAGCCTCAAGAAACAAAACCAACACACACAAATCATTAGCACTGCTATACACCAATAGCAACCAAGCTGAGAATCAAATCAAGAACTCAATTCCATTTACAATAGTAGCCAAAAAGGTAAACAGCCTAGGAATATATTTAACCCTAGATGACAGAGCTCTTATATAAGGAGGACTATAAAACACTGATGAAAGAAATTGCAGAGGACACAAACAAATGGAGAGACACCCCAGCTGATGGATAAAAAGAATCAACATTGTTAAAATGACCATATTACACAAAGTAATCTATAGATTCAACACAATCCCTATGATTTCCCATCATTTTTCATGGGATTAGAAAAAACAGTCCTAAAATTCATATGGAACCAAAAAACAGTCACAATAGTCAAAGCCATTCTCAGCAAAACAAAGCTGGAGGCATCACATTACCTGACTGAATTATACTACCAGGATACAGTAACCAAAACAGCATGGTACTCATACAAGAGCAGACACATGGAACAATGGAACAGAACAGAGAATCCAGAAATAAACCCAAATACTTAACAACCAACTGAGCTGGGCACAGTGGCTCAGCCTGTAATCCCGCACCTTGGGAGGCTGAGGTGAGTGGACTGCCTGAGCCCACGGGTTCGGGACCCGTCTGGGCAACTTGGTGAGACCTCATCTCTACAATTAAAAAAAAAAAAAATCAGCCAGGCGTGGTAGCACACGCCTGTAGTTCCGGCTACTTGGAAGGCTGAGGCGGAAGGATTGCCAGAGCCCAGCAGGTCAAGGCTGCAGTGGCTAGGAGCGGTCACTGCACTCCAGTCTGGGTGACAGAGTGAGACTCCAACTCAAAAAAAAAACAAAACAACTGATCTTTGACAAAGCAGACAAAACATACGCTGGGTAAAGACACCTTATTCAACAAATGGTGCTGGGAAAACTGGATAGCTACTGCAGAAAAACGAAACTTGATCCCTATCTCTCTCCATATAAAAACACTAACTCAAGAGGAATCAAAGACTTAAAAGTGAGACCTGAAACCATAAAAATCCTAGAAGAAAACCTAGGAAAACTCTTCTGGACATTGGCCTAAGCACATAATTTATGGCTAAACCGCCAAAAGCAAATGCAACTTAAGCAAAAATAAATAAGTGGGACTTAATTAAACTAAGAAGCTTCTACACAGCAAAAGAAATAATCAACAGAGCAAATAGGCAACGTACATGCATATGACAATATGCATCTGACAAAGGACTAATATCTAGAAACTACAGAGAACTCAAACAAATCAACAAGAAAAAAGCAAATAACCCCATTAAAAAAGAGGGCAAATGACATGAACAGACATCTCTCAAAAGAAGATATACCATGGCCAACAAACTTATTTAAAAATGCTCAACCGAGCCGGGCTCGGTGGCTCAGCCTGTAATCCCGCGCCTTTGGGAGGCTGAGGTGAGTGAATTGCCTGAGCCCGCGGGTTCGAGACCCGCCTGGGCAGTGAGACCTCATCTCTGCAATAAATAAAAAAAAAATCAGCTGGGTGTGGTGGCGCATGCCTGTAATTCCAGCTACTCGGAAGGCTGAGGCGGAAGGATCACTGGAGCCCAGCAGGCCGAGGCTGCGGTGGCCGGGAGCGGCCACTGCACTCCAGTCTGGACGACAGAGTGAGACTCCAACTCAAAAAAAAAAAAAAAAATGCTCAACCGGACTGGATTTTTAAAATGAGTACACATATACACGGTGGAATATTATACAGCCATAAAGAAGGACAAACATATGGACTTCACAGTAACTTGGATGGATTTAGAGTGTATCATACTCAGTGATGTATCACAGAAACAAAGAACTGAGTACCACATATTATCACTCGTAAGCAGATCTGACCCTGAACATTTACCATAATACTTTAAGGATTGGCAGTAGTGGGAGGGAGGAGGGTGCACATAACATCAATAAAGATAACTGATCTCAAGCCAGGCAAACAAAGAGAGGCTCAAACTTTGCCTATACAATGATCATTTATTTACCTAATCCTGAATTGTACACCACATCTTTAAAAGAAAAACTGTTCAACATTATTAATCATCAGGGAAACGCAAACGAAAACCACAATGAGACCTTATACCAGTTAGAATGGCCATCATTTAAAAATAAAAAAAAAAATAGATGCTGGTGCAGAAGCAATGAGAAAGGAATGCTTATACACTGTTGATGGGAGTGTAAATTAGTATAAACTATAGAAATCGGTATGAAGATTTATCAAAGAACTAAAAGTAGATGCACCATTTGATCTACCCAAAGGAACAGAGGTCGTTACATAAAAAAAAGACACCTGGGCTGGGCACTGTGGCTTACACTTATATTCCCAGTACTTTGGGAAGCTGAGGTGAGAGGACTGCCTGAGCCCGCGGGTTCAAGACCAGACTGGGCAACTTGATGAGACCTCATCTATGAAAAATCAAAAAATCAGCTAGGTTTGGTGGCACATGCCTGTAGTTCCAGCTACTTGGAAGGCTGAGGCGGAAGGTTTACCTGAGCCCAGCAGGTCAAGGCTGTGGTGGCCATGAGCATGCCACTGCACTCCAGCTTGGGAGACAGAGTGAGACTCCAACTCAAAAACAAAAAACAAAAAAAAAACAGACACCTGCATCCGTATGTTCATTGCAGCACAATTCACCATTGCAAAGATGTAGAATCAACCTAAATGCCTATCAACCAATCAGTGGATAATGAAAATGAGGTATATATACACTATGGAATACAATCCAGCCATCAAAAAGAATGAAATAACGTCTTTTGCAGCAACTTGGATGGAACTAGAGAACATCATCCTAAGTGAAACTAACTCAGGAAGATAAAACCAAACACCGCACTGATCCAAAGTGAACTAACTCAGGAAGAGAAAACCAAACATCCACTGATAAGTGGGAGCTTAACTAAGAATCTGCACAGGCTTATAGAATGGTATCATGGGCACTGGAGACTCAGAAGGGGGAGGGTGGAAAGGGGTGAAGGAATGAAAAATCACCCGTGGGTACAATGTGCACAGGTGGGGGTGGTGAGTACACTTAAAGTCCATACTTTTCCACCACCACACAATGCATTCATGTAACCAAAAACTATGTGTACCCCCTAAAGCTTTTAAAATAAGGGAAAAAGAGAAAATTGGATCGAAACAACTCCCCACCCCGGTTAATTTTTATTTTCAGGATTCTTTAAAGCCAAGGGTATTCCTTCTCCCAATCAGCTGCCTTGACTGAGGATCTGGCCTTCTCCACCCTAAACAGCCACCCACCCCTACAGTCCACCAACGTTCAAAAGATAGTGCCCCCCCAATCCCTTCCCAACCCCGCCCCACTTGGCGGGGTTTGGCTAGAATCCACCAAGAACGTCTGGGGCTGTGGAGCACAGGAAGGGCCTCAGATCCCGGCTCTGGCAGTCTGGAGCCACAGGACCTCGCCCAAACCATACATACAGGCGGCGGTTTCCCAGGGTCAGACACGCTCAGGGTTGTTAAACGTAGAGGGTGCAGAGTGGACGTGTGGAAACGGCAATCTCTGGTTCAAGGGTCCACTGACCTCATAGGATCCACCAATGCTCCAAACTCAAACGTCCCAATGCCAGCTTAAATCAGCTGCTTTGTGAAGGATCAAGGGGCGGGAGCAGCAACCCCACTGGCAGGGGGAGGTTAAGACCGCAGTGGAGGACCTTGGCGTCTTTCCGCCCAGGAAGTGCCTGAGCTAGGGAGCAGTCCAGCCCCGTCCTGCCCCGGACCAAAGCCCCTCTTCGGCTTCCATCTGGGCGGGCAGGCCCGCCGCCCGCGCACTGCGCTCACGCCCCGCCGCCGCCCCCTCCCTTCTCCTCCCGCTCGGCACGCGCCCCCAGCCGCCAGTCCCCACCTCCGCCCGGCCCGCCGCCCCTCACCAGCAGTCCCGGTTGGGGCACTTGCCCAGCATATGCCGGCGGCAGAAGTGCAGCTGGTCGCAGGCCTGGCACTCGCCGCGCTGATAGCGGGCGCAGAGGCGCACGGAGGACACGGCCACCACCCTCCAGGCGGAGGCGCCGCTCCCGCCCGCGCCGGCCGCCTCGGCCTCTGCCTCAGCGTCCCCGGGATCCTCCCTCGCCGCCACCTCCTGCAGCAGGAAGCGGTCCGGCCCGGCCCGCCGCAGCACGTCCTGCAGCTTGGCCTCCGACAGCTCCACGTGGCCGCGCAGGTCCGGCAGGAACATACGGCCGCCGTGGGCGCACAGCACCTTGGTGAGGAAGGAGCACACCGTGGGCTCCGCCATGGTCTGCTGCCCCGGCCCTGCGCGCGCAACGCCGAGGCGGGCTGGCTCCTCCCAGTCGCGTCCCCGCCTCCAGCCACCTCCGGGCAGGGTCTGGACGAGGGCGGGGCCTGAGGAGGGGGCCAGGCCGGGCAAGGCTGGGCTGGGGCATGCGGGGGCTGGAGGGAGCGGCGACCGGGGCCTGCGCTTTCTCCTGGCCGTGGACTCAGGCAGGGGCAGCGTTCACTAAGCCCTGCTCTTGGCAGGCACGTTCAAAGTGAGTCCTGGTCTTGAGGGGCTTGCGTAGCGGGGAGTCACCAAAGGCCAGCTAGCAGGTAAGAGGCTAGAAGATGAAACAGGTAAGATGGTAGCAGGTGAATCAGGACAGGCTCTGAGGAGTTGGCCACTGGCCACCTGTGGCTGATGTGCTAGTCCGAACTGAGAGGTGACAGAAATGCACACACTGGGTTTGAGGACTGAGAATGAACAAAAAAAAAAGTAAAAAAAAAATCTCAATAATCCAATGTGAATCACAAGTTAAATTGATAATATTTGGATATATTCAGTTAAATAAAATGTGACAGCCTCATAACTATGTGCCGCGGCCCGCACGGCTGCCTTGAGGGTCCCGAGAGAGAGCGACGAGAGATTTAGAAAGACACAGACACAAAGACATACAGAAAAGCTGGGTCCAGGTGGGACACCCTCCTCTGATGGAGGAGAAGTGGCCCCGAACTAACTCAGCATGTTTATTTTATAATTAAGCACAAAGGAAGTTGGAAGGGATTCAAGGTCTGTGAGGGACCCATAACGAAATTTTGTTGCTACCTAAAGGCCAGTTGTTTCAAGATTATCTTGTGGTTAATGCTTTATTTACACTATGTGCACCTGGATGTGTGGACATCTCAGACACCGTGTAGCAGGCTGCATCCCTCGCCTTTGGCTAGGATGCAGAGTTACCAAGCAAGACCTTGCCTATGATCTTGGGGCCATTAAGCGAGACCTTGCCTTTGCTTGGGGCCTTTACTCATGGTGTACTACAGTGACAGTGCTTGTCTGCTCCCACATCATATCCACTCCCAATAAATGAGAAAATTTTAAAGTACAAATGTGCCTTACTTGATATTTCTGTTGGGCAGCACTGGGTTAGACCCATACATCTATCGAGCATCTATGCTTTTTGCCCAACACCTTGAACATTCATTGAGCCAACTGCTAATGCAGTGACGGTATTAAGATGAACAAGAGAGCCAACCAGCTTCCTACCTTCTAAGGTGCTTCTGAGGATGAAATGGGTTCATGTCATGTGATGTAAAGAAGTTGGAGAGGACAGTAACTGGCCAGATGCCAGAAGACCGTTTCTGCCATACTAAGAAATTTGAACTTTGGGAAGCCACGAAAGCATTTTCAGCTGAGGAGTGACATGATTTCTCTACCTAGAAGACTTTGCTGGATCTGTGCATGGACCCCTCGTTTGTGTCCCATAGCTCTGAGCTTAAATGTCTTCTCTTTAGCAAAGCCTTTCCTGTCCTCCCAGTCTAAAGTAGCACCCCGTTCTCTACATGGAACTGATATTTTCTTCTTTCTTGTTTATTTATATATTTATTTGTAGAATTCAGACTCATGAAAGCAGGAATTACGTTTGTCTTGTTCGTTGCTGTTTGCTGTATCCCCACCACCTCAAACAGTGCTTGGCCATATTGTAGGATAGGTGTTTTTGGAAATAGCCCTGGCAGCAATAAGAAGAATGTGTTTCTAGAAAAGCCGGACAACAAAGGGAATAATTAGACAAGAAGAGAAGAATTTGAGGGACTTGAAAGGACCAAGATGGAGTTGATATAGCCAAAGAGCAGCCGTTTTAACATTGCTTAGCTTTGTCATGTTTTTCTAACAGTTCACTTTAATTTACCCTCCAATCACTAGCCAAGGACAGAACTGGTTTCTCAGAGGTAGGTATTGATAATTGTTTTAGAATCCCTCCCCAGCTTGTTTTGTAAACAAGTTAACCTAATTAGCTCTTCAGTGACCTTCATGACACAGACCCCATCAACATGGCAATATTATGTGAAAAATAGCCCACCCTTCTGCCTGCTGTCCATCACCTGATGTCAGTACTTGTGCTTACCTGACCCCTTGTGATGACATGGAACAGACCACCACCAAATCACCTTAATGACCTGCCCCCATAAAAGGGAAGGTTGAAAAGCATTCACTCTTGAGCAGCCATTGACCATTGCTTTGCTATCCTTATCTGGTCAGGCCATGTGGCTTTTTGAGTTATGGCCACCATGCTTCCTAGCTTTGGCCCCTCCCCTACCTTGGAGAGGTGAATCTCCACTCTCTCTTTCTAATTTGCTTTCTAAGTAAACTATATTTTCCAATCCTTCTGTGCAATTCTTTGCATCATTCAAGCAGCACCAGATCACAGACTCCCGTCTAGTCTGACCTAACATTTTGAAGGCCCTGCTGGGGTTTTGACCTAACAGAACTATAATCCCAATTTTTGTTGTGTTGAATTTCCTGTGGACAGTCGAAGGTAAGATGCTCAGTAGGCAGTTGAGTTAGATGTCCAGGTCTAGGTTTTAGGGGAGAGGAGACAGGAAGGGATATAGGTCTGTGTGACATCAGAGTATGAGGTAACCGAAGCTGTGAGAGGTGAGAAGATCACAAAGCAAAAGTGAAGACTGTGGGAAGCAGAGGTGGGAGAATAGAACCATAGGCAATACCAATATTAAGGAAGCAGAGGGAGGAAGAGAAAAATCTGAAGGAAACTGGCACTCAGCATCTGCACCTGAACTTTCTACCTCAGGTCTTTTTCCAGCAGAACAATTGAGTGACCAACAACAGAGACAGACTGGAGTTACCAAGGAGCTAACACTTCCAGGAAGAGCCCTGAGCCAGAGATGTTGAGGAATTGGAGGTACCAGGATATATTCAGACCCCCAGAGTTGGTATGAGGACTATTTGAAATGAAACACATTTAACATCCAGCAGATATAGGAAGGAAGCCTTGTTGGAGTTGGAGCTTCCTTCACTTCACTAAAAGGAGGAGCTTCTGGGAGTGAGGCTGAAATACATCCCCTTTTCAGGGGTTTATAGACATGAAAGAGAAGACCACTCTCACCTGCAAAACAAACATTATCACAAACCTCCTTATTTCCTGTTTGTTCCCCTAGAAACCCATTTGTTCTTCCCAGAGAAGCTTTTTTGCTCCCTGCCCATAAAGTTAGGTAAAAAATCCTCACCTTTGGTGGTTTAGAAGTCACTTCCTGTGCTCTCTCATATGCATGTGAATAAACCTTGGGGTTTTTTCTCCTGCAGCATTTGCAGCCCTCAGACATAGAACCTAAGAGGATACAGGAAAAGTTTTCCTCCCCAACAGTGAATAAGTATTCCAGCTCATTATTCCTCAGTGGAACAGCCTGGAGGTGTGCATTCCATAGTCTCCAGAGGATCCTCAGTGGATTTGAGCTCCAACTGCCCACAGCCACAGCCTGCTCATGAGCACACGCTGTACTGCCTTTGCTGCCTTCCTTTCCTGGTCTCACTTCTCTGCTCCCCTCCCAGCATTCTTGGGAGCACCTGGCAGATAAACTGCTTATATTCAATCCTTGTCTGTTGGCTTCTGAGGGATCCCAGCCTAAGATATCACCTGATAAAGAGAAGTTAGAGAATGAGCATCATTCATGGACACACAGAGGGAAGGGTTTCAAGGAGGAAATAGCGTGGTGAGATACCATGGGGAGGAGGTTGCCTGCAAGGACATCGATGATTTAGGCAAATTTATTTCAGAAGTGTAATGAGAAAAGGAAGATTTCTGTAGATTAAAAAAGAGAGAGAATGGAAAAATCCAGGGACTATAGGCTACTTTTTGAAATAAGCAAGGTAATCAGGCCAGGCATGGTGGCTCATGCCTGTAATATCAGTGCTTTGGGAGGCCAAGGCAGGATTGCTTGAGACCAGCAGTTGGCAACAGCCTGGGCAACATAGCAAGACCCTGTCTCTACAAAAAATAAAAACTTAGCCAGACGTGGTGGTGTATGCCTGTAGTCCCAGCTACTCAAGAGGCTGAGGTAGAAGGATTATTTTAGCCCAGAAGTTGGAGGCTGCATTGAGCTATGATCATACCACTTCACTCCAGCCTGAGTGACAGAGCAGGATCCCATCTCTAGAAAATAAGTAAGGTAATTATAAAGGGATAATTAGAGGAAGACACAGATTGAGGAAGATATTTTAGTGTAGGACAGAAAAGTTGTATGCTGAGTAGAAAGAGCCAGTAAGAAGAGCAAGTTGACAATACGGGAAAGAAGGGTAATTGAGTGGACGAGGTCCAGAGGCAGTGGGAGAGAACAGCACACAGTGGAAGAATGAACCTCAGATGGGAGGAGAGACCTCTTCTGTTCAGAGAAGAGGGAAGAAGTCAAGGGTGAGTGCATATAAAGATGAGTTCACAGGCTTAAGATCAAGAACTAAGAAAGGGCTGGGCACAGTGGCTCACATCCGTAACCCCAGCACTTGGGGAGGCTGAGACAGGAGAACTGCTTGAGCCTAGGGATTCTAGACTGACCTGGGTGACATAACGAGACCTCATCTCTCCAAAAATAAAAAAATTAGCTGGACGTGGTGGTGTGCCTGTAGTGCCAGCTACTTGGGAGGCTGAGGCAGAAGGATAGCCTGAGCTCAGCAGACTAAAACTGTGATGAGCCAAGATCATACCACTGCACTCCAGCCTGGGCAACAGAGTGAGACCCTGACTCAAAAAACAAAACAACAAACAAAACTAGAAGTCTCTTCTGATAGTTTTGTTTTGTCTTTTCTTTTCTTTTCTTTTTTTTTTTTTAGATAATGGCTTGCTCTGTCACCTAGGCTACAGTGCAGTGACATGACATGACCCTAGCTCACTGAAGCTTCGAACTCTTGAGCTCAAGCAATCCTCCTGCCTTAATCTCCTGAGCAGCTGGTACTATAGGCATGTACCACCACCTCCAGCTAGCTTTTAATTTTTTTCTAGAGACAAGTTCTGTAGC